CTGTTTTCCCTTTTTGTATTTCACGTGTTTCGCTGAGAGTTGAAAAGTGTTTACGGAGTGAAGAACGAAGTGAAATGAAAAATAGTTTCATCGAAGCAAAAGCGAAACTTGAATGTGTTATGTTGCTAACACAATTTAATTCACGTTTCTGAATTATTTCAGATCTGTTTGAACATCTGAATATTATAATGAACATCTTACACCCACAATTAGTGTGGATTGAAGACAGATGTTACAGAAAATTACCAATCAGAAATGTTGAGAAGAAATCAGAAGATGTCGGTAAGGGTATTCAAGATAATTAAGTACTTTGAGTGTTATTATGAAAATATTCTTTGTGAAGATTCAGTCAAGCACTCCTGCACTCCGTTTTCACTGCCTCAGTTAAAGTAAAAAAAAAAAAAAAAAAAAAAAAAAAAAACTTTAAAATTGCTTTAACTGATTCTTTTTATGCTTATTTCCCCGTGGTCTAAAATTATTTTCCTTCTTCATCCCCATGTTGCTAAGTTAAATTTAAACATAATGCAACTTTAAGAACTTCTGACGGATAAAAATAATAAAGACATTTTGGAAGCACTTCCGCAGAGGACCCGGTAAATGTTAACATCGCCAACTTTGGAGATAATAGTTCAAACCTGGTAACCTAGCTAATTCATCCTATTCGCTTATGCGCAGGTTGTCGTTGTTCGCAGTTGGAGATTTATATTATTTTTCTTTTTATTTATTATTATTTTTTCCGAATTTTTTAACAACGAATAGACAGAAATATTTTCGCGTAATTAAAGAAGTTTTCGTCGAAAGATGCCGGTTCTCGGGTCGTCAGTTCGGGATCAAAGGAAGAAATTATGGCGGGAGGGGTGAATGGTAATTTGTAACATGACTGTTCACGTTATGTTCTTAATTATTAACAGCTGTAAGCACGCAGATCCATGAGGTTTCCAACCCCTATAATAATTTTAAAATGTATAAAGTTCTAGTTTTATTAAAAATGCTACTGAAGAAAATTGGGTTACTGTTGAAGGTTATTTGTATTGTGAAATATATTATGAAAAAGGATAGGTATTTGTTTCAACGTAAAATGCTTTAAGCTGTATGCAAGTAACTTGAAAAAAAAAAAAAAAAATACTTAAAACTATGTAAAATGGATATATTAAAGGTCATGCATTCATTAATTTATTACATGGGCATGGCTCTTACCGAAATACATCAATCAACAGGCAAAGTACTTAATAGTGAAAAAAGACATTTGTAATAGAAATATTAGTATTCTATATGAATTAGAGAAAATACATATAAGTATATTGTAAACGTAAGTATAAGAAAACTAATTGTTATTTTTTAAATGAATTTTTACTTCCCGTTATGTTTAATACATTGTTTTCTGTGCTAACTTGAATTTAATAGAAATTTATTTTCGTATATCACGTTTAATCTGTTAGTTTTATATCTACATACTTATTATCTGTGAATTTCTACTACCATTGTCTGCTAACTTGAATTTACATCACTAAAAACCACGTTTACAAAATATCACGCTTACGGCTCGGCTCAGCTTGGCGAGTAAAACTGAAACTGCGCCAAAGGTTTCTTTCCCGAAACGGCAACGGGTTCTCTGCGGATGAAAACCCGACACCGGAAAAAAATTTGATACATTGATTTTGTATTTGATATAAAGGCTGCTAAAGGACCTGTGAATACATAGTAGTCTAGAATTGCAAGCATTTTTTGATTAAAGGACGATAATCAATCAAAACTGTTTATTGAAATTACCTCAGTAAAATAATGTATCCATCATTCCATTTAACTGAAAACTATTTCTTTATTCTCAGAAATTATCTGCTGAAACTTTCCAAAAATGATTCCTGTAGTTTCAAGCAGTTTTGCACTACCATAGAGATAATAAAACTACCGTTGGTGTGTTTACTCTGTCCGCTTTCCAAGAAGTACTCGTCAGTTTTAGATGTTACAGAAGTGGCTGCTGTAAAAGGTCTTTTGTTGACAACTGTCAATGAGCTATTAAGCAGTAAATGATCTTCTTTATTTTTTAATTATGACAGCAATATAATCAAAACTTGTCAATGACTTACAAATCATACTGCTGCCATGTGGCTTTAAGATTTTAAATAGGGTTTGTCCTCTTGAGTATTCAGAGATGCTGCTTCAGTATAAGTGTGACTGTACATTATTCTGTTTATTTTGATGACAGTGGTTATTACTGTTTCACGTTTGTTAAATTGCAAAGTTAATATTAGGTTCTAATTTTGTATGTGTAAGAGAGGAGGTCTGGACAGCAGTCTTGTCAAGATTATCAACCGTATTATTAATATTACACCAATCTTGTATTACTATTCTAAGAGCAGTGCCAAGGGTTTGCTCAGTTATACTATTTGCATCCTTCTTCTGTGATTGTGTCTAAAAGACCAGATCATCCACAAATAAAAGGCAACTAATTTCCTCAACTGAGTTCAGAGCAGCAATTAAATCATTTATATATGTGTTGAAAAGGATGCAACTTAGTACCGATCCCTTAGTGAGACCAATCTGCCTGACAAAACTCCGAGATACTTTATTTCCAATGTGGACTCTACAGAAATGTTGGCCACTAAAAGAACAAATCCAGTTTAACATTTTATTTCTAATACCAGATCAGTAAAGATCTTATGGAACTACTCTGATATGCGCCCTCAAGTCGCCAAATTTCTCGCCAAACATTTTTGGCGAGAAACTCCACGCTGCCATATTACTATCTAAATTTTTTGTCTACATTTCGAACTTTAAGCCTAAAATGTCTCCAAAAACTTGGTTTTCGCACATGCAAAAACCACATTTTGAACACACAATTTAAGCTAAAAATCTGAAACAAAAACCAAAAATTTAGATAGCAAAAACGTAAAGTTTCTAACCAAAAATATTTGACAAGAATCCATGTACACAGCGATATGTTTTAACTTAAAAAAAACATCTACGAATAGCATAATCTAGGCAACGAACGAATCTACGAACTACTCACACCTCGCTTTAATAAATTAACATAGTAATAAATTTCAAAGAATACCATGTACACAGCATCCTGTTTAAACTTAAAAAAACATCTTTGGGTTGATCTTTGGATTATGGTAACTTGGCGAATTTTTAGCGAAAATTTGGCGACCAACTCTGCTACAGCAACCCTCTATTTTTTTTTTCCGCCGCCATTTTGTCTTCACGAAGTAAAGACATATTTCTTTTCTTTTTATTTACTGAACACTTTTTCCAACAATCTACTAGCCAAATTACACTTATACTAGAAATTTTATCTAACAAAACTGCTTACTCATGACAAATATTCACTGCAAAATTGGGAAAAAGTGCACAATCGCAAACTCCTTGCGCGTTTTTCACAATAAAACATACACATAAACCATGTACACATCGACTTATTTTTACTTAAAAAACATCCCAGAATTGCACAAAAATGGCATTGCGCACACTCTTCACTACATCCATGTACACTGCTTTTTTCTCATACATAAGAAAAATTTCACGAGAATGCATGAAAATTTTGTGAATCTTTAAACCCGGTAAAAAGAACATATATGAAATTACCTGATCGCAAAAAAGTATATACCCTTTCCAAATATGAACATTTCCACATATAAAATAAATAAAATATCCAAAAACTTTTACCTCTAAATTATCTATTATATTATAAACGTCGCCAACGAATTCATACCGCAAACATTACAAATACTTAGTGTCAAATATTTAAATTATTTCCATGCACGTTTACTTCAACTAAACGTATACCAAATTCCTACAAACATAAAATTCACAAAATAACTATCATTTAATTAAAATATCACTAAACCATGTACACGTCGACTTATTTTTACTTAAAAAAACATCCCAGAATTGCACAAAAATGGCATTGCGCACACTCTTCACTATATCCATGTACACTGCTTTTTCTCATAAATTAGAAAAATTTCATGAAAATACTCAACGTATACTACTCAAACATATTCCAAAATACTACAAACATATAACTCACAAAATCACGATCATTAAATTAAAATATAATTAAATTAAAAACACTACTTAAAATATAAATAAGCACATACATTAAATTAATAAAATTAGATTACAATCCTAATTACTTTAAACTAAATCATTGCTAATAACAATTTCCAATAATACCATTTTAATTTATGTACTCCTTACATTTAGAACAATACATAAAAAATAATATCCTCAAATGATTAAAAATACTAACTTACCTAATCTTCTTCAGAATCTTCATTACGTCGCTGCAGTACTACTGCTAATTTCTAAATCCTAAATCCAGTAGTCAACTGGAAGTCTATTCACCAAGTAATAAGAAATTAATAAAATTTCACCTATACTCAAACTACTTTCAGCAAACCACGTACCCTTCCTTACACTCCTTTTCACAAAATGTCCATTTTCACCGTATTTCTTGCACCGCCATTTAACTTGTAATATCCTTCCTTTCACACAATCTCAACTTATCATTATTATCAGATAAACGCATTAAAAATTTAGAATTCACTTTACATAGAGCCATGCAATCCGAAAATTAATCAACACTATTTCACACAACACACAATGAAGCTTTTGCAAATTAACCCCCTTTTCCGATTAAAGAACTGTAATTCGTCCATTAATGTCACGTTTCACACAACACAGAATATAGCTAAATACGAAATTTCCAGATTTTCCCCCTTTTCCGATTAAACCACTGAATTTGGTCCATTAATGTCACATCACATATCTCATGATCTCTCATTTCCCTCACACAAAATAATGCGTAATAGGAACTGAGTGCTTCTCACATTATTACCAAAGTCCTAGGTAGTAAACTTTATCGCCTCCAAAATGTTGCCAAATTACCAGTTACCATATTCCAAAGATCAGCCCATCTTTGAATGGCACAATCTAGGCAACAAACGAATCTACGAATTACGCACACCTCGCTTTAATAAATTAACATAACAATAAATTTCAAAGAATACCATGTACACAGTGTTCTATTTCAACTTTAAAAAACATCTACGAATTGCACACACTAGATGCTACGCACTAATCAACAAAATAAACTAATAGAACTAAAATAAATTTCAAACAATTCAAAAAAACAACAATAACAACAGAAATTCTTACTAAAAAAACAATGAACATAACATTCTACAAAATAAGAATAAAATAAAATGTACTTACCATGAATTAATGCTTTTTCGAACAGCATTAATTCATGGTAAGTGCCAACTTCATACCGCCTTTAACATGACGCCACATAATCACCATCATATTTATATGACAATCAGGCACACTATTCAGAAAATTCATACTATGGTTCACAAATAAATAAAATCATAAATCTCTACTTCTATCATGCAACTAAAAATAATCTCCCAGACCCTCTTTCCACACCTCCAAATACCCACTGCCCTTCAACAGGATGGCCACGATGATATTTCCTTTTGCTGAACTTCAGTTCAACAACTTCTACCATTTTATCTTTCCCCTCTATCTTCGTGAACCAACGAGCTCCAGCGAAAGATTTTTCAACATCAACAGGGTTGCTATACAACATGTAATCACGTCAAAAACCAGCGCAGAACACATATAGCCACATTTGGTGAAATTAGGACGTATATCAGAGTTGTACCGATCTTATAAATATTATTGATCTTATAAAGATCTTATGAAATAACTTCTTCTCTCACACCCTATCATATGTGGATTTAAAATCATCATAAAGAGCCAAGAAGGAATTTCTGGCATCGAGCATCCTTTAAGACTTGAGCAAAATAGGTAACCTGTAAATTTTTCGATCAACATCTAGAAAATCTAGCCTGTTCCCATTACTAAACCAAAATACTCCAGATATCAATTAACCTTGCTTGAACCATCTTTCCATCACATATGTGAGTGATATACAGTGGAGGAAAAAAGTATTTGAATACGAAGTTATGCAATAATTTTATTGCAAATGGGGTAAATTAAATTTTTGAATAAGAACTACTTCACATAACTAATGCAATAATTTAAAAAAAAAAAAATAGAGGGTTTGTTGTCACCCGTAACATGCAAATATTCAAGGGGAAAAAATTATTTGAAGTAAATAATTATAATCTGAAACTCAATCAAATACTAAAAGGAACATTTTATATTTCATAAAAAGTCTATTGTTGTCTATAATAGTTTGTAATCTTGTTATCCTTGATTCTACTAACTTTTTGTTTAGATCCGACAATATATTTTCCCATGTTTCCAAAAGAATATTTTTTAATTCATTTTTATTTGAAAATTTGTGTTTTCTAGCTTCTTGATCCCCCAACATACCGTAAATTCTCAATCAGATTGAGATCAGGTGGTTGAGATGAAGTGTTCAGTCTTTGGGGAACTTTATATGAGAGGAATTCTTTTGTAAATGTGATTAGCCTAGTATAGCTAAACTTAAGGAATAAATAGATCCATACCTAGCAGTTGCAGCTATTGCTTATATCCTAAAATTTAAACATTGCATTGAAATTGAAACTAAAAGCAAGAAAAAAGAAAGAGAGAGATAAAGGTGTTTATTATATATATATATATAATATATATTGGAATATTTTTTTTAGAAAAATGTTTTAAAGTGACTCAACATGTTATGTATCAAATAAAAAGAGTAATTTTGGAAAACATCAGTGGTTTGCCCTAATGAAAGTTGCAATATTCATGAAATGCAGGTTACTGTAGGCAAGTTTGCCTTTCATCAAGTTTATGTTTTTACCAATAAAGAAAAGAAATTAATATCTGTGTACTGAAAATGCAAAGTTTTGATTCATACAGTCACAAGAATTAATTTGAGTCTGATATCTTTCATATATACTCGGTGATTTTCGACTCAATCTTTAGTGATTCTCTCCTTTTTCGTTTCATTTTGAAAATAATTTCAGAAAATTTAGATCTATTTGTATCTGGTATGTGTAAAAATACTTTGTAACCCTTATTTTCTTCTAATACAGTACAAAGTCCGTAATCCAGACTCGTCGGGGCTTCGACGATTCTGGATTAGGGTTTTTCCCAGATTATAGATTATCAATTTAAATCTGGTAAGATGGCATGCAGAAATTATACAATTAAAAATATGAAATTGTAATTTATGAAATAAAGAGCAATTATGATCTAAAGGGTATCAAATTTACAAAAAAAAAAAAGCTTAATATTTATTTGTTTACTTTATTAAACATTTCTTTCAATGTATGTTGTTTATGTTGCTTTTTTTTTTTTTTTTTTTTTTTTTTTTTTTTTTTTTGTGTGTGTGTGTGTGTGTGTGTGTGTGCTAATACTTTCTCTTTAATTTTATAAAAAGACGTAATTTCTTGTTCAGTTACAAAGTTCCACTGTTCAAGTCCTATAATTGCTGTGTTGAGAATACCAACTAACTTGTCAATAGAAATTTTTTTTGTTTTCAATACCCTCTCAGTCACCTTCTTCACTGTCAGAATCAATGAATGCGCGCATGCGTATCGGAAGCGCGCACTAAACGCGCATGCTTAAAGCATACAAAAAAAAGTTTGTGGCTTTGAGGTCCGGATTATAGATCATTCCGGATAATGGACGTCTGGATTACGAACTATGTACTGTATTGGAGTTGCTGTTTCAGGTACTTTTACACAAGGAATTGTGATATGTACTGTGCCATTTTCTATAAAACTTATAGCCCTGTAGAAGAACCATATTTACTATTTCTGAGTTAATGGAGGTACACTGCGGGGGGGGGGGGGGCAGTTCTATGTCCCGTTTTTCAAATTCAAATTTCGTCTTTCAGGTCTTGATTTAGGCAATATATATTAGATTTATATCTGTTCTATTCTAATATAGGTATTAAAATCAGACTTTTTCTGAAATGTCATGCCAATTTTTTTCCCTATTTCCATTCTACGACTTATCATACCTAAATACTAAATTTTGTAAAATTTGGGGCAAAATTTATAGAGAAATTCAAAAATTTATCTTGGCACATTTTTTTCAGTTTGCGCTTAGAATTAATTCACTTGGCAAACTTCTTAATTTATAGCAACCTCTTTGACTTTACCTTTTTTTTCTTTTCATTGTACACGAGTGGAAAAAAGTCATCATTCATACTTTCAAATAATTTTAACAAAGTGCATAAACCACATTTGGTGTTATTTATTGCTTTAACATATATGCCAAATTTCAAAATGCACCAATATGTAAATTCACATACATCTTAGAAAATTTTGAATAAAAGAACAATTTTTTGCAGGTGTGCCTAGAATACGTCTACTTTAAGATGATAAAAATTGTATAGGTTATAATACAAAAAATGTTTAAAACCCCAAATTTTAAAAATAAATTGTAAAAAATGTGCAAATTTATATTGGATTAGCCCTAAATTTTGAATTCTGGAAGAAGGAATCAAGTAAGTTGTATATAAAAAAGAGATATTAATAAATATATATCAAATTCAATTAACATTTAACAGCTAAAATTTTGAGAGCTAATTTTTTAAAAACTACTTGTGCGATTTTTTACAAGACTTGGTAATTTGGTATAATTTGAGTCGTAGAATCAAAATATGGAAAAAAAAAGGACATGCCATTTCAGAAAAAGTCCAATTTTGTGTCAAAATATACCCATATTAGAACAATGCTATATATAAATCTAATACACATCCTAAGTCATGCTTTCGAGACATGAAAAACGCATGTTGAGTTTTGTCAATTGGCCCAGTAGAATGGGAGATATAAAATTGTCCTCCCCTTTTTTTTTTACCTTGAAAAATGCAATTAGTGCAAAGTTATTCTTACGAGGGCTATCCAGAAAGTAGATTACGTTTTGGAATAAAAAAATAAACAAAGTATAGGAAACAAATTTTATTATATACAGATGAAAGCCACACTCAAATACTACTTTTCTACATAGTCACCATACAAATTAAGGCATTTATCGTAGCGATGTACGAGCTTGGAAATTCCTTCGTCGAAAAATTCGGCCGCCTGCGCCTTCAACCACTTCGTTACCTCTTCTTGCCTTCCATCTTGCACAAAACTTGTGGTAACCAAGCTTTTCGCTGATGATTTCGTGCAACAAACTTCGCGAAATTTGTGGAAAACTCAAAGAAAGTTCCGTTATTGTGAAATTTCGATTTTCACGGACTTTAGCATCGACTTTTTCGAGAAGTTCGGCGGTCACTATGCTGGGTCTCCCACTTCGATCTTCGTCGTGAACATTGGTTCGGCCATTTTGAAATCTTATGACCCACTGACGCACTCCACCTTCAGTGATAATGTTGTCCCCATACACTTCACGAAGCTGCCGATAGATTTCTATCGGTTTACAGTTTTTTGCAGTCAGAAACCTTATTACTGAGCGCACCTCGCAGCTCGCGGGATTTTCAATTAACGCAGACATTTCAAACCGTCACAGTATCTGAACGGAGCACAGCACGAACCTCTCACTAGCACGGCTAGATGCAGACTGAGCTGCGCAACGCTCTGACCCCAAGATGGCCGCGCTAGCCCCGCCCCTAGCGGACACAGACGGAAACGTAATCTACTTCCTGGATGGCCCTCGTATATCTAATTTTTAATGCATTAAATAAAAAAGTAATAGTTGTGGAACTGAAGTAGAACACTAACACTATTGCAATATTTAATATTTTCTATTATAATAAGTCTAAATATTTTACTTTCCGTATTCTAAAACTGAAAATTTGTAGAACTAAAGCATTTATTATTAACTGTGCATATATTTTATTTATTTCTCAGTATTTTAGAGAGTATGCATGTTTTACAAATGTTTCCGTTTTCTTTTCATGTAGTGGTTTCAAAAATCGCAATTGAAGATGAAGATGATGACTATAATAATTTGGGCATTAAATTTTTAAAAAGCAGATTTTTGGTGACAATTTCAGTACCAAATCCACTGATGAAGTATGTAAAATTTTCATATTTAAAAAATTATAATAGGTATATTGCTTAAAAAATGTGAAAGGTTTATGTTATGATGTTATAAAATGCTTAACAGTTTAGATGAGCAAGCATGCAATAAAAATCACTTGCAATAAATGATAAAGAAGAACTTTTGTTCCTGCAGTTCTCTAGTAATACTTTATTGGATAATAAAAGTCATATGGAATTATTAAACCTAAACACAGTACAAAGTCTGTGATTCGGAAAACATTTCTATCAATGTAAGTTGTTTAAGTTGCTTCGATTTTTGTGTTTTTGTGCTACCACTTTGGCTAATCTTTGGAATATGGTAACAGGTAGTTTGGCGATATTTTGGTAAGGCGATAAAGGTTACTAGCTAGGACTTTAGCAGTGTACATGGATAAAGTCAAGAGTGTGTGCAATGCCATTTTTGTGCAATTCTGGGATGTTTTTTTAAGTGATAACAGGTCGACGTGTACATGGATGATACCGTGTATGTGCAATTCTTAAAAGCTCAGCAAGCAGTGGGCAATTCTGCACTTTCTTCCAATTTCGCACCTAATCTTCGTCATGATTTAGCACTTTTGTTCCATAAAAGTTCTAGCATAAGCGTAATTCGGCTAGCAGATTGTTGGAAAAAAGTGTTGAGTAAAAAAAAAAAAAAAAAACATGCCTTTACTTTGTGAAAACAAAATGGTGTCAAAAAAAAAAAAAAAAAAAAAACTAGCAAATTGCTGTAGCAGGGTTGGTCCCCAAGAAATCGCCAAGTTACCATAATCTGAAGATTAACCAATACTTTCTCTTTAATTCTATAACCAAACATAATTTTTTGTTCAGTTACAAAGTTCCACTGTTCAAGTCCTGTAATTGCTGTGTCGAGAATACCGACTAACTTATAAATCGAAATTTTTTCGTTTTCAATAACATTCTCTGTTACTTTCTTCATTATTGGAAGCGTGCATGAGTGAACGCTTTACTGGCTTTACGCGCATGCGTAAGTTTGTGGCTTTGAGGTCCAGATTATAGATCATTATGGATAATGGATGACCGGATTATGGACTTTGTACTGTAGCAGACTTTGGATCAAAACAACAGGCAAGCATTAAATTCAGATAATTCTTCTAACCTCAAATAAATTAACTTTTTAAAGTATGGAAGGTATTTGCTGTCTATCCAAAAAACATGTTTGAAAAATTTGAGGGGAGAAATGCATGCAGCAGAACAGAATGTGGTAACCAAGGAAAGAAGTACAGATGTAATAATTTTTGGAAAAATGGAGATTATTTAATTTGATACACTTTTAACTTCCTGCCACTGTTCATGTTTCTTCTATACATCACATGCTAATGAGAATACCAGTTTAGCTTTGTGTAGCAGATGATTGTTGTTTAACTGAATTATTTCTGTCATTATTCTCTTATTAGCATTTCTTGACACATTTCCAAGCTGTACTCTCTTCAGCAGGAAATTATGAATGGCGGCTATTAAAAACTGCCAACATTTTTACACTATAAAATCTGAGATCTGTACACATCGAGACTTCGACAATTCCGGATTCAGGATTTTTCTAGATATCAGATTACCAATTTATATCTAGTGCGATCACATAAAGAAATTATGAAATTAATGTATGAAATAATAAATTATTTGTGACTTTAAGGGAATCAAAATTTATGGAAAAAATTTCAGTATTTATTGTTTTCTTTATTCAACATTTCTATCAATAAACCTTTTGTAATTTGCTTCATTTATAATGCTAATAATTTTTTTCTTTTTTATTCTCAACTACCTCTCTGATTTTCCTTCACTAATGGTAGCAATATTTTCTAAATATAGAACCATACTATAGATTTTGTTGTCCGCCATAATAATTGGAGTATTGTCATTGTTGTGAAAAACTTCTATTATATCTTCTTCATTTATTAATACTTTTTCACTGTCTTTATAAATTCTACTAATTGGAAAATTTTGTTTTTATTTGTGATATCTGATTACTGAAGCTACAGTGTATTGGTAGTCAAGCAGTGTTGAAAGCAAAAAAGTGATTCTCGTGGTTGCTATCAATGCCAAAATTAAAATTTAAAAAAATTAAAAAATCAGGACTCTCCAACTTGTTTTATTATGAAAAATATCAGATTTTCAAGCATAAAAAAATCTGATGTAAACAAAACATGACTTCCTTGTTATGGCCTGTTAAATTATATACATTTTTTGCTGTACTTCATTTAAATTATTTCCTCAAATCCCTCTAGGCAAGTTGAAAAATTGTAAATTTTGAAGTTGAATATCCTGGTCAATTTTTGTCATGTGGAGTGAAAGTCACGATTTCATTTTTTCATAATGAGTATGAAAGCATTCCCAAATGTAAGTATAGAAACCAGAAGACAGCATTAAAAGTTAGATTTCGTAGTTTGTCCAACAATTTTTTATTTTTTAATTTGACATTGTCGAAACATGGATATTTTCATCAGTTGAAACATTTCTATAATTGGAAGTACATGACTAGAACCAGTGATGGTGAAAATAAAGGTGAGGTAAGTGTATGTCTATGTGCAATTATTACATATATTAAATTATGTGCAGGGGGGAAACGATGAAACTTAAATCATGCTTGAGTCATGGCCGAAAAGACTGTTGCTTAGTGCTGGTGGGAAAATCACAACTGGTATTTTTGTTCAAACATCATGTCTATTTTTTATAGAAACAACTATTTAAAAATATACTTCTCGTTAAAACTGATAGAACACTAAGGTTGCTAAACACTCCCCAGAATTTCAATACAGTCAAAAGTCGTTAATCCGGACTCGTCGGGACTTCGGCGATTCCGGATTATCGATTTTTCCGGATTATAGATCATCAGTTTAAATCTCGTAAGATGGCATGCAGAAATTATAAAATTAAAAATATGAAACCGTAATTTATGAAATAAAGAACAATTATGATCTAAAGGGTATCAAAATTTGCAAAAAGAAAAAGCTTAATATTTATTTGTTTACTTTATTAAACATTTCTTTTAATGTAAGTTGTTTAAGTTTTGCTTCGTTTCATGTGATAATACTTTCTCTTTAATTCTATTAAACAGACATAATTTCTTGTTCAGTTACAAAGTTCCGCTGTTCAAGTCCTATAATTGCTGTGTCAAGAATACCGACTAATTTGTCAATCGAAATTTTTTTGTTTTCAATAACCTCTGTCACTTTTCTTCGCTATCGGAAGCGAATTATAATGACGAGGAACTTGTTTTAAATCATATCAAAGACGAAGCATATCGAGATGAAATACTACATTTGGTAAGGAATTATAAGCCAAATAAAATAAAAACATCTGCGCTGAAGATAAGGATAGTGCTGACAAATCAACTTCCAATTCATTACACGCCCGCCGCCGAGCAGCGTGAAATTGATAAACAGATTTCGGATTTCAAAACATACTTTCGCTTTAGATGCTTTACATATTAACAAATATATATCGGAAATTCTATTTGATATAATCGAAAGTTTAAGCTTACTTTTATAAAATTGCTCTTACAGTCTGCAAAAAATAATAAGCCGGATGCAATTTGAAAATTAAGGAACAACGCAATCATCAACATTAACTGAAATAGATAATTATTTAGCTTATACGTCCATTATACATAAAATGCGCGCGCGAAAACGTATTCTGCACTTGCGCACACTCATATGCGCAGTCGTAAAAGGTCTTACGCACACGCGTGAACGCCTCTGCGAATGTGTCAACGCGGCGCATGCGCAGAAAGTTTTTAGTTTTGATGTCCGGATTATAGATCATTCCGAATTATGGGTGTCCGAATTAACGACTTTTGACTGTATACATAATTTACATTTTAGACAATGAAGAAGAAGGCAAAGCGAGAGACATGGTTAATTCAGGCAGCAGCCAGCGAGGATAAGTAATGCGTTCTCACTTCAGTCGTAGTTATAGTAAGAAAGTCGTTGTGTTAATTTTCAGCAGCAGCTGGGCTTCAGATGTTGCAGTGCAGAGAGTGTGGGGAAAGAATGAGGCAGAGTAACACAGCAAAGTGTATCCTTAAAAAGTGAGAATGCATTTAATTAAAATATATGACTTTGATTATGTATTGCCAAGACTGCAATTAAGTTAAATAAGTTTGCTATTACACTGTCTACCAAAAGTTAAGGAACAGCTTGTTTTTCAAAGCTCACCATTACAAAAATGTCAGTAGTGTTTAAATTCACAGTTCATATGCATGACAGTAACAAAGTTTAAGAAAATATATAGAAAAACAATAGCTACAACTTTTACTTTATAGAAATGAATGCTTATATAGGAGTTGGAGAAAAAACGCAAAAATTATATTTTTTGTTCACAAGAGTTGAAATTCAGTTGTTATTACAGTTTTGTGGACAATATCCAGGAGAAGTCGTTTGCCCGATTTGCGAAGGTGGTGGATGATCGGATGGATGGAATTGAAAATATCACAAGCTGATGCTGCTAGACATCTCAATGTCTCTTGTAGTGTGGTCCACCGACTGTGGAATCAGTTTGAATTCAAAGATTCTGCATCTAGAAGACATGTTCCAGGCAGACTTAGAGTTACAACACCTGCAGGAGATCGTCATTTAAATCTTATGGTCCGAAAGAGGAGTAACATTACTGTGCCTCAGCTCATGGCATATCATTTAGTGGCAACAGGAATCTCAGCTACTACAGTGTGCAGCTGCCTGCACAATGCAGGTCTATATGAAAGATGGCCAGATGTTTGTGTCCTCTTGACCCGAGGACACAAAGGTGTCCATTTATTGTTGGGCAAGAGTCAGCAATGGGTGTCTATTCTCTTCACAGACGAGTGCAGGTTCACACTGGAGAGTGATTCAGGTCATCAGCTCATCTGGAAGAAACAACGCATCAGATAGAACCAATCCCATATTGTGGAAAGACACAGTTACAGAGGTGGTGGAATAATGGTTTGGACTGAGATCTCTCTTGGTGTTCACACTGACCTACGTGTGTTCCCTGAAGGA